TCGTCAATAATTAATTGAATATTTCCTTCTATACTTTTTAGCACGTAACTATTTATTATTAGCATTGTTCTTCCGACGTCTGATTTCTTTTTAATTATAGGAAATGCGTTTTTCTAAAGTACATAAACTTTTAGGATTGACTGTATAGCCAATACATCCTTAACGAGTGAAGATACAAGAAAATTGCAAGATAGTTCTTGTAACTACAACTCTTGTCTGACGTATTGTTCGATTGACTGAAAAAAATGTTGCCACGCCATATTTTAACTCTTGTAACCTGTTTCTATTATCGCCACGTGCAATCCATTTACGACAAATGGAGTGTTTAAACGACGAAGGTCGTATCGTATCTTTTACATTCTAACCAGACCATGTATTTGTCAGAGTCTCTTGCACGTCGCGAAAGATCGTGTTTTCATTCTAATTAGGTAATAAAATTTAGGATTAATTTCCCAATTTTTAAAACTGTGACACACAACTAATCTCGTTCCTCATGAAATACTAATTTGTTATCTGTAAGTTCAGTCCTTGGCACGACCGCGATTCGCGCAATTTATAATCAATTTCGTACATAATAAAACTTCGATCGGGGATCGAGAAATACCAGCCACCCGGTGGAGGAACAACAAACGCGATCACGAAAATCGTTCGATAAATCTGGTAATCGGTTTCGGCCAATGAAGAAACTCCGGACGGAAAAAAAAGGAGGAAAGATTAATCGAATTCGGTGGAAGCAACGTGCCCCAACGATCGTGAATTCGGTTACAATAACGCGATTTACTAACGCGGTCGAGTGCGTGAACATTGGCGAACGCGCGCGTGACACGCCTCGGCAACCAGGAAGTCACGAGTTCTCTGATCGTCATCGCGTCCCCCTGTACATATACCAGGTTCAAGGCTTCCATCGAATTGCAAACGACTGGTTCGGAGATAGAATCGCCGACCAACTATTACCGTTACAACTACATAACTTGCCAGCTTTATTCTCATTATCTACCGTCGAGATCTTTCCCTCGAGTCGAAGTACCCTGACAGTTTTCCAATAAGACTGTATTTGTATACAAGAAAAAACGTCCACTGAATAAATAACAATTTTCATGTAAAACAAGTTAATAAACACGGAATTTCGTATTTCTAATTCGTTTACGAATTTGCATTTATATAAGACTCGATTATTTCATATAAATATTTTTTTTAATGCCATTGGCAAATCAGGTGCAACATCCGAATTAGAAATAAAAGATCGCTTCTGTGAAATATCGAGTTTTGCATTTTTTTCACAATCCCTGCGTTTGATCCCCGACTGTTTTCCTTCTTTTTTTGGTAATTCGTCAACAAAGTTCATTAGCGGCATTAATATCGACGCGGGGGCAAAAACGGTCGACGGTTTTGACCGGACCGCGGCCGAATTTAAGGCAACGCGGCCCATACCCTCCTGCTGTCCGTCCCTCGAACGAGATTTACTCGCGTTTATTAAGCCGCCCTAATAACCGGCTGCAATTTTAATCCGACGTTAATCTCCAGCAGGGCCGAGGCCCCGGAATTTCACCGGTTTTCACCCACGGTTTAATCCAATCCCGCGACTCGGACCCACCAACTCCAAAATCTTTTTTTACAAGTCTCTCGTTTTAGCTCGCGCGAGAAATCGTATTGCCGCGGATTTTAACCTTTCCCGGAAGTCCGCGTAGCCAAGAATTTTATTGAACCCCCCCCAACCCGTTCTTGTAAAAATTATAAGCTCGCCAGAGGAACCGTACAGAGATATCAACCACCTCTTTTTTTTTTACATTTGTCATGAAATCGTATTAGGGATTTTATTGGAGTATGCAAATTGTAAACAAAAGTGCAGCCGGAGTAAAATTTATTTTCGGACAGGGTTGACAGCGTTAATTTTTGCTGACATGGTTCTTATTTTAGTAGAGGTTCAGGAATATTGGCAAGTTTGAAAACGGAAACAAGCCCCGAGAATTAATGAGACAGGTATGAGTCTCCTTTCTGTCTTAACTGACAAGATTTTAATATTAACACAAGACTGAATTCTCTATTTGATTTGATTTTATCTTTAAGCTGATTCCATGCATTTATGCATCCGAGATATTTATTTTTATTAATTATCTTTTGACTGACACCACGAAAGCTTTATTGCATTGCTGCGGTTTATAGAATTTCCAATCAACGGTTTTAAACGATTTTCGACTGAGAATGGCCGACGTCGACGACGTAGAAAGAAACCGAGCTAATTTTCATTTGAGCGTGTCTAGAGACGAAAATCGAGACGAGGGAAGAGGGTCGCGGTGCGTGCCTCCGCAACAGACGGAAGTAATAAGGGGTTAAAAGGAAGACGTGGGTGGGACGACAAGTGCAATGGCCTGGAAAGCCTCCTCCTTTCGGAGGGTAATATACCCCCGGCGCATGTTTTCTGGACACGCTATTGTTATTATTGTCACAGCTGTTGCAATTATCGAGCTCATCGTAATACCTCGTCGACGATTAAGTCAGCTCGCGTGCGATCAACGCCGAGATAAATTCGGTCGAAAGTCAGTCAGATAATGCGTGGGTAAAGGGTTCAGACTCTTGCACATGCGGGATGATTAATGAGACTGAGTATCATAGAAAAATTAATATTATCCCGGAAACGTTCAACGACTCGTAGAACATCAGAAATGAAGTGCACCTTACTAGCTTTAAATGAAAAATAAAATGTATACAAATCAATCATGAATTCGATTAATAACACGGGACAGAGTTAGTAAAAACCACAGAGGAAAAGCGAAGATTGACCTAATCAAGAACGATGATTCAGTGAGAGAATTAATTTATAAATTACTTATAAGCAAGCGAAGAGAAACTGAGAACGTTTTAATGCTTGTTTACTCACGACAATTATGTTCGTCGGTTCCGTCGACGCAATCCTCGCGACCGTCGCAATGAGCACTGCTGTCGATGCATTGTCCGTTTCTGCATTTAAACTGCGAGGCCGTGCAAGCTGTAACAAAAAGTAGAACCAAATTCCTGTAATTCAGCTCGAAACTTTTAATTTCCAATCTCGACAAATCTTATTCCATTTTATAAATATTTATTCCTGTAGAAATCAGGAGCGAGATCGTAGACAACGATTTAATGACACGAATGAAAATCGTGTTTCACGCCTAAGTCAGGCATGCAGGTCTGTTCGACGCTGCGGACGTATTATGAAAAATTTCTGATGGGACGCGGTCGAAATAAATGATGAGAGACGAGCGAGCGAGCGGCTGGATTCCGGATCGATACCAACAACACGGATCTAATATCGCGCAGAAAATTCGACGGTGTAACAAGCGTTGGTAACCGGCTTTTTGTATTATGGATAGCTCGTACTCGTGAATTTTTAATAATCTGCTCGTACATACATTCATACGTAGTATTTCATGTATCGGAAGTCGTCGGGAGATTCGATTAATTTCGGATCGGATATATCCGACTTCCTTATCGATCGATTTCAAAGATGCATCTAATTTGAATACAGTAATATAGTGTGTTTAATGGAAACTAGAAATAAACGGATTCATTGGTTATAATTTAATCGCGTTCATAATGCAATTTATATTTCTTAACTGGAGCCGTCATTTCGACGTTTAAAATCGCATTAGATTTATATTTGACCTGGCAGAATTCGAGATCGCAAATAGGAACGGTCGATCGTGGAATCCCTTGGTCTCTGATTTACAAATAGGGGATGGGAATCGATAAACCTCGAATTTCTTCCGCGGCAATAGACGAAAATCGAGGAGGGTTTAATATAAATTCGCACGTGAAAAGGGAAATCAGATTTCAAAGCCGTTCCTTAATCTTTCCTGTTTAATATAAAACCGAGCCAGCGATATTAAATGTGAAACCGGCTTGTTTTTAACGACCGAAATGTTCTACCGATTATAGTACATCGTTTTATCGTGTGAAACATTCTATGAATCATTATACAAAATGATCGTATCAGTGGTCGTATGAACTTTTACTGAAACGGCAGGTAAAAAAAATCGATGCTATAAAAGCTACTTTACGTCAGCCGTTTATCGAATGTACGATTTCACCTGATTTCCACAATTGGTTTTTTGTATACGATTTTGGATTTGCTCGAAAGGATAACCCGTATTACGTTTCAGATAAACAGTGAGGGAGAGCGTGTGTGACACGGGAGTCCATCGACCACCACGGCCAGAGGCCTGTTGTTTCAGCAATCGGACCGACACCCTCATCTCGTTTTCACAATTATGTTCCCGCTCATTCGTGACAATCCGATCGCGTTCGGATTCCGTTACAGTCACGCGTGTAAAGTGGAACGATTCGCGTTTCCCCAGATTTTACCTCGGTTTACCGACTACCGTTTCCACTTCAATTAGCTAATCGTCAAAACACTTCTAATTAAATATCAACGTTTTTCCAACTGCGTGCGTCTGTACGAATCCACGACTCGACGTCTCTCATAAGTAGCCTGGATAGGAAACGAAAAATTTACACCGTCTATCAACGAGATACGAAACGGACCATAATTCTGATTTTATAGATTCTCTAGTAAGTTTATAAATCGATGAGAATATATTTAAGATTGTACGCCATAAAATCACTGCCAAAAATTTAAGACATGTAATAAAAATCTGTGTCCAATACTTGAAGCAATGAACTTGTAGAAAAAATAATAATTGCAGATGTTTATAAAATTGCTCGACTATGTTCAATATTCTAATAGATAGTTTTGGCATTTTTTTTTATTAGAATAAATATCATAAAAACGAAGCTACACAGGAGACTGGATATAATTTATTTGGGAAAACCGAGGATTTCGTGGTTGCGATTGCTATGGCAACTCGTAGGAGAGATTTGGAGTTAGGTATCGAGTGTCAGTTACCGCTTGAACGGGGGTTAAGAAGAATTCTTGTTGGTTTTGCGCGAGAATGGCCAACGGGAGTCGAGTAGAGCGATTGAGTGACGGTCTACTACGGTGTCAAAGCGCACTCGGCTCCTTTTGCCACGCTTAATCCGATCGGCCCTCGAGTCGCCCCACGTTCTTAACCCTTCCACGATTCGCATACCGTCGCTCGTCGAGTGGCTCGAGGTTCGCAGAGTATTAGAATTATTATTAACTGTCTCGAATTGCTCCAAGACCGAACAGATATTCGAAAATGTAATCGAGATTTATCGATGCAATTAGAATCAGTGATTTTGAGTCTCGCAGAGTGCTGGCACTTCGCATACTTGTTTATCTGGCGGGAGGCGAATTCCAGTGGTCAACGTCGTTAGCGATAACACGTTTTAAGAGCGTTTCAAGGCCGGCAAATTGCTCGCGGGTTTAGATGGGAAAACTCTCGGGCGTCGAAGTGCGGTTACATCGTGGCAGCAATTTTCAGAACTTCTCGCGCTTTAAATAGTTATGATCGAAACAGCGACAAGACGTGACGCGCGCGCGAGGGGGGGCTAGCGGTAGACGATAAGAGAATGGTTGTAAAAAGGATGCATCGTAAACGCGGTGCTCTCTCGAGGCGCGAGACACGCTCTCATGCATCTTTAGAGAGCGTTGGAAAAAAGGAAGAGCCGCAAACTTTTCCATCCAACCTCGCGACAGCTTGCTGCGCTTCTCCGGTATTAGGTCGGCTTCGGGTTATAAACATGTTAATGCTTCCGATAAACAATCTTTTCAATAACAATCTTAATACTGCATTTCCATGCAACTTGGCAAACGTTCACCAGAAAACTTGTTCACATTTCCGTTTAACGTTGAACTAAAATACCGGAATGCATTTTGACTGAACGTTCTGCATCGCCTAATAAATTCACGTCTACCGTGTTTCGATGATAAAAAGAATGTCGTGTGAATCGCACGTCACTAAATTCGAAACGGTCGTATTAATTAATAATCGGCACTGGTGGCATGATTATTTTGAAAACTGCCTTGGAGATCCGGCAGCTCGGGAAGAGCACAGTTTTTCGGGAACCGTAACGAGGACATTAGTATCGCGCGCAACAGCCCGTGCGAAGCATCGCTGCTTTTTCACCGGCAGCAACCCGTGGAAAAACATCTTCGCGAGGGTGAATTAATTTACCATGCAAGGACCCGACCCCGGTCTAACTTTCCACGAGCGATTAACGATCAACAAATGCTTCGAGCCAAGTTTTCTGTGAATCTCCGTTGTTACATTTATTAAAAATTATGATAAGAATATTTAGAATTATTGAGGAATTTTTTATGAATCTCATCGAAACGAATCGTCTGTCTCCCTAATTTTTTTATGGATTTTTTAATCAAACTCCTATGAATCTCATCGATACGAATCGTCTGTCTTCCTAATTTTCTATGGATTTTAATAAAACTTCTATGGACATGGTTTGTCATAATTCTGGAGGAAGCGACGGGTAGAAAAATGTATTTGCATAACGAAGCATTATCTTAAATTCCTGTTAATAATGCATAGTAGAATGTAACAGTGGTTTAAAATGCACTCGTCCGATTCCGCAGTGGAATTATTTTTTGGCCGGCACGTACGCGGCGGGCCCGCGACAGGACGTCATTAATTATAACGTTTAAATTGCAAATCGGCCACTAAAATATGTCGAATCCCTGGTGGGACACCCACGCCGTACGATGTATGACGGGAATATACTTTATATGCCGCGTTCATATATCGCCCGGCCCGTTCCAAAACGCTCGTTACCCATCCGCCGGTGGTCCAACGATTTTTCATGCAAATTCCACCGCCGAAATCGATGGTAATTCTTCTAAAACGATTACCGCACTGATAATGCTAAGCAGCTTCCACTTTATCCACTTTTTCGTTACTCTTATTACGTACCAATAAAATTCCTTAGACGTTTCGTAGAAATCGTACGATATTAGAATGAAATTAAAAGCAGAGGTGAAAACGGGAAGACGTGTCGACGGTTTGGAAAAATCGGAAGTAAGAAAAATTCGCAGGAAGAGTAGAACGATGAAGATGGAACGGGGGAAAAAATCTGGGAGCAACAAAAGCCGCGTCCTCGGTTTGTTCAACGACGCGTGCTGCCCGAGGAGAGCGTACGTCAAAAGAGGAAGGAAAGGAGGACGAGATGCTGCTCGGAGAAAAACTCGACTCGATATAAAGCTGAGGATATTAGCATGACAGGCAGCGAGCCAGCATCAAATTGCGGGACCTAAAAGCTCCCGTTGCTAAATCGCCCGTGCTCTTCTAATGGACTCATCTTCTTCGCGAGTTCCCACCCTCTCTGCGTACACCTGTAACGCCCTTCCAACGCCAAACGCATCTCTTTCGAATCCATCAACAGAACGAGGAAACGCGACCCGAATTAAAAATGTCCAAATAATTTTCTAACTATTCTTCCTATCCAAACAGGTGAATTATCGACTTTCCGGTGTCACAATGAAGCCATAGGCCGAGTGCCGCAATCGATAAATAATTTGTGCTCATAATCATGAAAGTGGTCTAAGTCAAAATTAAAAAAAAAATGAATTTATCACTTATTTTACGCGACTCATTTTTTTTTTAATTTTGACTTAGACCACTTTCATAATTATGGGCACATTTATCGAAATCGGTTTTACGGTAACGAAACACAAAGTCTGATTATATTGAATCGGATTTGCGAATGCAACAAACGATATTACAACGCGTTTACCTGCTGAATGCTGCCTATAAGGAGCAATAAGGTTTTTGATTATGTTTCTGGAGCGTGAAACATCTAGTCCTTGGCGCATGCAAAATCAGCCGAGTAATCTACACCGGTCTGCATGCGTAAACTCCGCGATAACCGTGGATTACGTCTCGGCCGCTTATCGCGATCCGCCCCGCCACGAATTCTCGTTTCCACCGACGACGGATCATTTCTATCGTATGAAATCTAACGCGGAATCGCTCGCGGCCGACTCGAAAAACGCCGATTCTCGACGACGTTTCCTGCCGCTCCGAGCCAACAGTTTATTCTATAATTTTCAATCATAAAAACGTAAAAATTGCTGTCTTT